AACAACTATGAAGCATACTAAGGGCTAGAGATATAGCTCAGCAGCACAGTGCCTGCCTGGCAAGCACAAAGTCCTGAGTTCAATTCCCAGAAGCAAAAAAAAAAAAACAAAAAACAAAAAAAAACAAAACCAAACAATAAAAATCATGTTAACAGATTGGTGTTAACTTGAAGAAGTCTAATTGAACTGCATTCTTCTGGGTAATTTATTCTTTCATTTTACTATTTTTTTTAATCAACAATTTGAGTGAAGACCTACCTATTGAATATGAAAATGATCTTCCTCCTTACAAATCAGAAAAATGCCTAAATCAAGATTAATAAACAAAATTTGGAAGCTTTTTACTTAAGTTTTAAAACTTCATTTCAGGAAAACAGGGCTTGGAAGACTGTTCAACAACAATCCATGTAAAGGAATGTTGATGCTACTGGCTCATATTAAGTAACAATTTAAAACAGTTAATAATTAACAGTTTTAAAATATATTATGGCCAGGGATATAACTCAGCACAACAGTACCTGCCTGGCAAAAGTGAGGTCATGAGTTCGATTTCTGACACCCCCCCCCCCAAAATGTGTGTGTGTGTACAATAGAATCTAACTACTATTTAAAAGTAATAGCTTCTGTCTAGATGTCGGCCCCCCCAAAGCCTCATGCAGTCATAGGTTGGGCTTTAAGGGCATGCATGACTGGACCTAGGACGTGTGATACTGGAATTAAGGATGTGATGCTACGATTAAGGGTCCTCCATCCTGGCTGTGTCCCTAAAGGACAGGTAACCTGAAGTATGAAGGACAGAAAGAGCTGCTGCTGTCACTTGCTATTTGCTGGTTGCTACTTCGCTGCTGGCTGCCTGTCCTGCTTTGCCATGGAGTGTTCCTCTGTGATGCCCCTCTGCCATGATTCCTTGCCTTGGAGAAGCTGACTATGGACCAAAACTTCTACAAACCATGGCAAACCATTTCAAACCATGAAATAAACCTTTTCTCCTTTAAGTTTGGATGTTGCATATTTTGTCTCTGCAACCAGAAATGACAAGCAGTGAGAGTTAATTTAAAAATAACCATCATTGGGGCCAAGGATATAGCTCAGTGGCACACCACCTGCCTGGCAAGCATGAGATTGCCAGTTCAATTCCCAGTAACAAAAAATAAAGTAAAATAGAATTTAAAAAAACCTTTTTTTTTCACTTTACAAAAAGATGCATGCAGCACAAGATCCTGAGTTTGATCCACTGTAACAAATAAAAATAAGACCAAAACAAACATGAATGAATTATATTAGCAAAGAAATTAAGTAGACTGGGATTATTTGTGTTGCAGAAGAAGAGAATGTTCAGAGTGTATGGAGGAGAGAAAGGTTCAGCAAGGACTTGCTAGTAATCTTCAATTATTTAAAGGGTCACTCATGAACTGGGGATATAGCTCAGCTAAATAATTCAGAACTTGTCTCGCATGCAGGAGACTCCCAGTAGTAGAAAAATTAGTAAAGGGGTCATTCATCAGAAAAGGTGGTGTACTTGGAAAAAGTAAACGGGGTGAGAAACAGTATCAACTTTGATGCATAAAACCTGGATTCTCATCCAGGTTTTGGATCCATCACCTGCTGTTATTCGATTCAAGGTGAGATATTAGGTTTCCTTATCTCGGAAATGAAATCTACCTTATAAATATATAAAAATTAAAAGGAAAATCTTTATAGGCTGCCTGGTATAACCCAACACACAATGTCAGCTCCCTTCCCTAGATTTTGCTGAATGATTTTGGAACAGTGTTTTTCAAACTGAGAGCGTAAAACACATTAATGGGTCACAAAATTAGCTTCCTGAGTGGCAACTGGTATTTTTTTCCCCTAATGAAACAGATCAGAAAATATTACAGTGTATCATTAATAGTATCCAGACTTTTGTAAAATTTGTTTCAGTTATCATTATGTGTATTAGGTTATCATTTTATGAACCTGCCCCCCACTCCCAGGGTAAGAAAGTCACAAGCTGTAGACAACTATTGCTTAAATGTATTCTAAGAACTAATTCCTTGGGAGCTCACTTAAATTTAGGAAACAGCTGGGCATGAGAGCACATCTATAATCCCAGCACCCAGAAAGTTTAAGTAGGAGGACTGCAGCAAGTTTGAGGCCAGTCTGGGTTACATAGTGAGACCCTGTCTCAAACAAACAAACAAACAAACAGTTGAGAATACAAACCATCACTTTTAGAGATTATGTTCAGTATACATTTGCATTTCCGAGAAGTCCAACATTAAAGAAATCTGTTTATTTTTGTTAACCTGTTCCTCCCACATTTATCTGACCCCTATCTAGTTATTTCTCACCATGGTACCTATTGGAACCTTCAGGACTAGCATTTTGTGGTACATACACTTTGGAGTAATCTATTCCCTTTGGGTGAAAAAGAGGTTCAATAGGTATAAATCATATAAGATTTTTAGCTTGCCAAGAAAGAAAAAAAAAATCTTGCTTCGTGAAATCTGCCACTGACATCCACCCTCTCCAAAGAACTTTAATATGATTTATCCAACTTTTAATTAACACAAATATTTTCAGAAAAAGCATAGGACATCTATACTATCAAGATATAAAGCCAAGGGGCTGGGGATTTATCTCAGCGGCATAAGCACCTGCCTTGCAAGCAGGCAGTCGTGAGTTCTATCCCTGGTACCAATAAAAACGAAAACGAAAAAAAAAAAAAAAAAAAGATATAAAGCCAAGGCCAGGCATGGTGGCTCATGCCTATAATCCCACCGCTCGGGAGGCTGAGGCAGGAGGGTTGTTGGGAGTTCAACAGACCAGCCTGGGCTACAAGTGAGCTCAAGGCCAGCTTGAACTGTATAGGGAGACCCTGTCTCAAAAAGACCAAGAAAAAAAAAAAAAAAAAAAAGATATAAAGCCAAGAAATGGGTATAGTGGCTCACTACTGTAATCCCAGCACTTGGGAGGCTGAGACAGGAGGAACATTGCAAATTCAAAACCAGCTGTGGCTACAAAGTGAGCCCACAGCAAGGTTGAACTGCACAGTAAGACCCTGGCTCCAAAAACAAAACGAAACAGCCAGATTAGAGCAGTAAGCAGCAACCATGTGGTTGAAAGATAGTCCTGGCACAGTGTCTAAGACTTGATTTACCTTAACAAATATAAAAAACTAAAGAAGCCAAAGGCTTAATCATCTTCAAGTGAGGTCAATGCATTCTAATAATACATAATCTAAAATGGGCTGATGAGTGCACCACATCTTTATTATTATGAGTATCACCATCAGCACTTGGAAGAGGCACATGTGGTTATGTGAATGATTCTGGGTTCTTTTAAAGTGCACACATACCCAGAATTCCTTTGGGAAGACGTGATTTCACATTTATATGAAAACCTGTCACTACATTAGTTCTAATAATACTTAGTATCATTTAAGCACAAAATAAAGGCCTGACATCACATATTCAGCAGTACTGCCATCATTCACGCCTAACTAGGGAGTTACAAATACTTTTTGTAGTTACCAAAGCATAACATTTCTACCCATTTTTCTCCACTCTCAGACTCCCTTTTCCCCAGACTCCAAAGCCACCTTCTGCTTAAAGTTTGTCCCAACTACTTTGGACCATTATTTTCTCCTCAGTTTCTGAGCACTGTCATTACTTTTAGTTAGTTCTATGATGCTTCCAGCAATTTACTGTATACATTCTACCTTACTTAACTGCATAAACCTTAGCTCCTACCATGACTATAACTACTTTGTGAACAGACATCAACACTTAAATATCTCCCCTAACAGCGTGTAAGAGCTCACTAAATTCATCTTGATTTAAAGAACTAGGCTTAAGCGTAACAGCAACCAGTTTTGGAGAACGTATTACGTGCCACACACTGTGCTAAAAGTATACACAGATGATCTCAATCTTCACAACTTTATAGAGGTAAGAACTATAAATTTCTCCATCCAATAAAAGAAAAAAGTGAAGCTTAAAATAAATGGCAAAAGAAAGGTCTGAATCCAAGCAAAGTTCAAAACTTCTAAATTCCAGCCCTCTAGTACCACTCTAGGAAGAATTTTCATTTTACTAAGGAAGTTAAAAGGTTCTGTTCCAACAAAGAATAGAAACATTTTAGCTAATGCTAAAACTCAAAATAAGATGAAGAGAATGAGAATTTCACGCAGATATCTGCATTGTCTCAATAAAATAAAAGGGAAAAAGCCTCCCATGCCATTTATGAAAGTAGTATTAAAGTGTGGGTCACAATTTCATCAAGAAGTGCTTTATCTCAATATAGCTTTAGTTTAGGTTTTTAAATAGGGCTCCTTTTCTCTCCCCCCGAAAGACAGGGAAATGAAAGATGGTTTTGATAACTACAGTTCCAAAGCTCCGAAAAACACCAGATCCAATTCGTGTTTAAAAAGTAAGAACCAGGGGTCTAGTTCCACCCATACTCTTTCTTCGCACAAAGCACCAGCATTTTCACACAAAGCAGGCTTCACCCTCTACCCAAACGAAGAGCAGATTCACACAGCTTTCCGTTCCCCTCTGGAAATACATCCATCTCGATCGTGTCCAAAACACTGACCGCGGCACCGACAACTCTCGAATGCCCCACCCCCACCCAGCACCCAATGACACCTCACCAAGCAGACCCTCCCCGACATCCAAAAGGCCTGGGCCACCATCCAGAAGCCAGAATTTCACACAAAGCAAGATCACTTCCGACATAGCAGTTTCTCAGCTCTACTCCTCCAAGCGTAAAGACCTTCTTCAGCTGTACCAACCCACAGATCCCAAGCGAGACCGGCACCCAGTCCCCGACCCCTATGATAACTAACTACACCCCCTTGTCCTTAGGCACGTTTCGAACCCCCAATCCGATTCCAGCTGACCTATCTGTGACCCAAGTAAGAAACCCACTAGTCCCCGCGAGGGAGCCGATCGTACCACACAAAGCCCGCCGTCCGGCCCAGGGGACCTTCGCCCAGGCCGACACCCCGCGCTCACCAGCTCTCCGCCTCCTCCTCCCAGCCTGACAGGCGCTCCAGCTCGTCGGGCCGCAGCGGCTCCACCTCGTCCAACAGGCCGCCCTCGCCCGCCGCCAGCAAAGAGGTGGCGTCCCGCAGCTCCTCGCCGCTCGTCCGCCTCGGGCCCGACCCGGCCCCGCCGCCTGCTTTGACGCCGAGGCCCAAGGGGAAGCCCCGCGGGGACGCCGCCCCGGAGGACGGGGTGCACCCGCCGGCCCGCGCCGGACTGCCGGGCCCGAAGGAGCCTGCGCCCTGCACGGCCCCCGAGCGGCTCCTCAGCTGCTCGTTCTGCTTCTCCAGCTTCTTCACCAGCTCCTGCAGCTTCCGCACCTCCTGGTCCGCGTTCACGTTGGAGTTAACGTCCTCCATCCCGGGCGCGCCGCCCGCCGCCGGCTCGCACTCACAGCGACAGGGAGAGCCGGGCGAGAGAGGCGCCGCCGCCGCTCAATCCAGCCGAGGCGCCGTCATAGAGCAGGGCCAGGCCCCACCGCCAGGGTCCCCCAGCTCAGGTTCCGAAGCGCCGCTGGCCCCAGCCGAGGCGCCTCATCTGCGCCGGCTCCGGGATTGGGGGAGGCGGCGCCAACATCCGGCCGCTAGCGCCATCTTCCCTCCGTCCCTCCGCCCCCCGCGGTTCAGCCCGGTCGGTGACCTCAGAGCGTCGGCGGTGGATGTGGTCGCCTGCGGGCGCTGAGAGGACCGAGCCCAGAGCTCGCGGCGGGAAGGGAGGGGTGGGGCGGGGCCAATGTGTGGGCGGGGTTTGTGCCGGAAGGGGCGTGGCGGAAGCCACTCCCGCCTCCTCCCCCACCCAGATTCTAGCTGAAAGGTTCGGGGCGGGTGGGGCGGAGCTGTGAACCAGACTCCAGCGCGGCCCCACCAGTAGGTGTTAAATGATTGGCGTGTCGCGCATTCACAACCCCAAACAAGGCTGTGGGCAATCGCAGGCCTGTCCTGCCCCCACTCGGGTCTAGTGGGTGAGCTCGCCTGCTTTTCAGCGAATGCTGTGTTTAGTTGGTGTTTACTTAAAATCGGAGATAGCGCTGGCAGAGCCACAGAGACCCGTCTGTGGTCCGTTCTTCCCCTAAAAACGAGAAGCCCGACCCCCAAAAGGCTGATCTCTTAAACGGTTAACTTCTCTGTCTACCATCAAAATAATTACCATAATTACTTACTACTGGCCAGACACTGTGCTAAGCACTTTCAGGGCATTATCTCATCGGTTAAAACACAGTTTTTCTGATTTAAAGTTTACCGCACGGTGGCACAGAAGCGGGGCGTACAAAACCGTTGCTCTCTTTGCCTTTCAACCTTCGTTGATCCACGGACTGCGGAAAAAGTTTTTCATAGTGTGTCTCCACGTTTTCAAAAGTTGTAAACTGAAAAGACTTAAACATATTGACAGATCACGTAAAATGTTGAGAGGTGTGTGAATGCACAAATCTGTCTCGTGGTGCCCATTTATAACGCGTCTTGGTGGCAGCAAAACCAAACTCAGATGTTTTGTTTCAGTCACATTCTCCCGCCTCTTAAGAGTCCACAGAGAACTCCTTGATTTGGGTTTTGCAGCTTTCCTCCAATGCCCCCTCCGCCCTTACCCAACTGCGATCCGGTCCTTTTACACCCGGGTGTGGACTCTTACGACGAGGATTTATTTACTTCTACTTTTGCTCCTCCCTGCGCTGCATTTTCCTTGTCTAGAATATCTAACCTGGGGGGTGGGGATTTAGCTCAGCAGCATAAGTGTGCCTGCTGTGCAAGCAGGGGGTCGTGAGTTCGATCCCCGGTACCGATAAAAAGGAAAAAGTAAAAAAAAAAAAGAATATCCAACCTGCCAGATCTGATTCCTTTTCTAGAAAACTACGTTTATCTAGGAAACATCTTCCTAACAATTTCGCAAAGAACTAGTTATTCTTATTTGGGCATTTTCTGATCAGTGGTTCTTTGCAGATGTTTGCATATTTTAAATGAATTTTTTCTTTATTTTTGTGTCAAATTATAAGGAACCATACATTTTGCTTGCTATGTCTAGTAGAGTGAACATTCAATACCTAGTTTGTTGAAAGTCTAAGAGAATGTAAATTCTGACTGGTTAAGAACCAGATATTTATTCATAGAAAAAGATGTTAGTATATTAAAATTTGCTATCTAGTATTTTTCTAGCTATGCAGACCCAGTAAAACGGTGTCATTTTTTGCTAACATGAAATAATTGTGAGGTAGCATTATCAATACAATGGACACCCAAATGTCATTTCTCACATATCTGAACTCGTTGCCTAGAGGATTAAACAACATAACTACTTCATATATATCAGTTTTCACTTGTATTTTGTGGTATGAGAAATAAATTCCAACTATCCAGTTTCTGTCAGGAAAACCCTTCAACTATATTCCAGGAAAAGAATAGCACACTCAACATTATGAAGTTAGTGCTAATATTTTATGGCTCAAGAAGTGATGTAGTGTGGAAAAATGAACTGCAGATCAAAAAGCCTGATGGCAGATGTTAGCCGTACTGTAAATATGATGTCTGACCTTAATCTCTAGTCCCTTTCTCTGACTCTTACCTTTTTGTAGAGTATGTGAATTGAATGATCTCCAATATTTCATCCAGTTCCAAACAGGAAAAAAATTCTAATTCATCATCATGGTTATAAAACAAATGCAAATACAGACATGCAGAGAAGTTCATAGTAGATAAACTTGGATTTTTTAATCTGATTGCCTTATCCTGTATTTTTTTAACCTGATAAACATTGAGTGTCTACTCAACTGCAGGCGCTATTCTAGGCACTTGGATGCCTAATAGGCCCCTTAAATTCAAAACTGAACTTGCAACTCTTATAGACACACACACACTACTCACACATGCCCTTATGCTTGCCCTGTAGCACATCATGTGGTAAATAACAGCTCTTATCTTTGAGATGTTCTGGCTAAAATACTTGAGAGAATCCTTACCATCTCTCTCTCTGAGATAAAGTCTCATTAAGTGTTTCAGGCTGGTCTTGAACCCATTATGTAGCCAGGTTGACCTCAAACTCATGGTGATCTTTTTGCCTCTGCTTCCCAAGTGCTAGCATTATAGGCGTGTGCCACCATGCCCAGCTGTGCCTCTTTCCTTCATCACATCCATTCCTTGAGCATGTCATGTTAGCTGTGCATTCAAAATATGTTGAAATACTTCCCAACACCTCTGCTGCTATCACTCGAGTTCAAATTGCCATCTTCTGTTTGTCTAGATCACTGTGGTACTCTCTTAATGGTCTCTTTCACTTGGCTGCTGTCTATTGTGTATAAACCATATGATCTTCATGTGAGGAACTTCAGGTTATTCCCCTGCTCAGAAGTCTTCCCAGAAGTTCCAAACATACTTCACATTCATAGTCCTTTCCTTGGCTGGAAGGCTTTAGACATATGGTGACTTCTACAAATACAAGACGTCATTGGCTATTACTCTGCCCCACCCTCACACTATGCCTGCCACGCTGGCCTGCTTGATGTTCTTCAAACAAGCCAAGCAGGTTTCTACTTCAGGAACTTTGTACTCACTGTTCCATGGATTGGTTATTCCTCTAGACTGTCACGGCAATGACTGCTCAAATACCTCCTATGTTGGTTGTCCTCATGATCACTATCTTCATATCCTTGTCATTGTCCATTTTCTTATCCTTTTTCATTTTTTCTTAGACATATTTTTCTTGTTTAGTGCATGTGTCAGCCCAGGGAGAATGTGAGTTGTGCAACAAGATTCACAGTTGAGGGGGCTGGGGATTTAGCTCAGCAGCATAAGCGCCTGCCTTACAAGCAGGCAGTTGTGAGTTCGATCCCTGGTACCGATAAAAAGACAAAGACAAAAAAAAGAAAAAGGAAGAAAAAAAAAAGATTCACAGTTGCGTCCCCAGTGCCTGCAACAATGCCTAATACATAGTAAGTGCCTGATAATTATTTGTAAGACAAATGGACTTAGATCAAGTGAAGTCTCCTAAAATGGCATGTTAGATCAACTTGTTGATTATGCCCCAAATCATTAAAATGGAAATTATAGTCATTTTGAATGATTGGGTTTTGAAGTTATGTTTTCCTCTTCCAAAAGAGCAACATGCCACACTACATCCATCATCCTCAAACTAGGTCATGCTCCAGCTCCTGAGTGCCAATAGCTGTTAAGAATTGCTGAGAAAATAGTCTCAGGTTCTCTCATTGAAAATGATGAAGAATATTTCATTCCTTTCTGAAACCTGCAAGGACAGGTTAATTAGAACACTTTGTCTTCTCTGGTGATTCAGAAGGGTAAGCACATATTTAAAAAGTCAGTCTTAGCATGCCTTTTAGGTAGACACAAGTGATACAGAGCTAGTAAGTGTCTGAACTATGCATCATACTGAGCTCTGCTGGCTTTTTAGGTATCCTCATTTGTGATAAACTTGCTTTGTTGATGATGTAGGAGTTGCTTCTTTTCTAAACAGGTGTGGCTCTTTCTGTAACTTGCTTCCACTTGCACGTAGCTCTTAGTGAAACTCTTGACTAAGTGGAAAGTATTACAAGCTACTGAAAGTATTTAGAATGAAAACTATTACTCAGTAGCATAAAGGCATTTAGGAGTCCTAATATTCTAAAATTAATAAGTAATGGCAGTTTTCCCCAGCAATATTAATATTGAACCAAGGGCCTTACACATACTAGACCATGCTCCACCACTGAGCTACATCCCCAGCATCCAAACATCTACTCTGTCTTCATGGGCACACGCAGCCATTTCCCCCATGTCCCCTGTCAGCTAGTTCTCATCAGCATCTGTCCCCTAGGTGTGCATCCCTCTGATCCACCAAGGGCCCTCCACTGTTCAGGGACTATATAACGGTAGTAAGAAATCCCAGGAACTATAAAGGTTAGGTCTATAAAAATTCTGCATTGAAATGTTGGGGGCAAAAAAGAAGATCTCAACTTTGGACTGAAAACTTTTTCTGTCTGAGAGAGAAAGAAGGGATTGTGAGTGGTTACCAAAGACTGTCTTTTCTAGGGACTTCTATAGAGCAAAACCACGAGATGAGATGGGTCCATGATGGGGAAAACATGGTAACTGGAATGACAGGTGGGCATGAGGTGGGTCAATCAATAAGATTAATTGTTCAGGTAAAACTGACCAAATAAGGGACAAATGGGAAAGAGAGTTACATAGCAAGTGGGCATGCTTAAAGAGTAGTGACTCTTCCTGTAGAGGATTGGGATGGTGGTGATTCCTGGCTTTCTCAAAGTGCTCCATACCTATTTGTTTATTCATGCATTTATTTTTTGGTTCCAGGGTTCAAACTCATGACCTGGCGCTTGCCAGGCAGGTGCTTGTGCCCCTGAGTTAAATCCCCAGCCCGATCAATGCCTATTTAGAATGTCAGTCCCTGATGTTTATACTTAGGGTGTGATTGCATTTGTTTTACCTTTTCTCTTGAGATCTGGCCCACAGCAGAGGTGTCTGTCTTCTCCAAGACTACAAGGTATCTGGGCTTCTGCACCGACTCCTTCAAGCGCCCAGCTCTGTCTGACTGCCTATAATATTTCTAGCTAACTCAGCTGCCTGTAACACTTCATTGCAGGGTATGTAGAAAGGACAAATGCATTTAAGGGTCAGAGATGCTATTGCCTGGCAGGGTTGTTTCTAGCATTGAGACAAAATGGGAACCTAATCTACTGGATTAGGGCCCGACCTGCAAACTCCCTCAAACAGGAGTC